ATTGACAATATTTTTTAAGTGGTGTAATAATAAACTGTTTTACGCTGCTTGACCAGCTCAGCATGACCACCAACATATGAACAAAAATCTCTAGAATTTGTTTTCGTAGTTTATCGAAAAGGCGTAGAAGTCGACCTCCTCAATTTGCAAACCTCACTTTACAATTACACACACTGCGCTAATGGTACAAGCGGAACATTCGTCGTTGAAACGAGCCATATCGAAATTACCTCGCATGTCGGCTTAGCTCGGTTCAGTTCGGCTCTGAGGTCGGTTGAAATATACGTGCCATGCTGAGCAGATAACAGGAATGAGTCACTGCATGATTCACCGAATACCTCATTTGCTTCGTTTCGATGCATTCCTGATGATATTAACATTTTAGTTCTACCCAAAGCGAGGATCTTGTCTGCGATCTCGTTCTGGGAGCACAACTTTATAATGTTATCTTTCAAATTCTGCTGCGTCTGAAAGGTCATCCTCGTGCATATGGTGCGTTCATATTCATCGTGCGCGCTTCGGAAAAACATGCGCAGGCGTTTCCATTTTTGCTTTTTTCATCTGGGGTTACCGTTACAGACCAGTTATAGTACGCTTCTTGTTGAGAGATTAATTTTACATGCCATGAGGAAGGAACTCTTGCTCGACGGCGTGAACAATGAGTTTAGTAAACGCAACTAATTTACTTAAATCGTCTTTCCCTCGTCTAAACCAATCGAACCATCTAAAGTTCAGACGGTGGCCTTCAATCCATATTCAAGTATTCTCCTCGTCAAATTTGAATGAAGGACTGACAAGATTCGTCACTTCCAAAATGGCATTTTTTGCTGTTTGATAATTTCGAGGTTCAGAACAGACCAACGCGACTATTGAAAAGTGAAGACAGTACACTGTGATGTACTTCTCCCTGGCAACGTTGCAACGGTTTTGTCGCCTCTGTTCTCCATAGTCTCCTCTCCACCAGTACTCAGCATTAGCAACGGCGAATTACATATGAAGATACGTAAGTGAATTAACTCCGGCGAATTTGAACCTCCAAACCAAGGTTAATTTGGAGAGCAATTTTCCAGGCTTTCAGACCCGTCATTTGGCTACATGGAAAGACAGCGTATTCGAACGAGAAGGCGGGTGTCATTTCGGCTGCTTCAGCATCACAGTCTGGTAGTACTGACTTTTCTTTGTGAACGTACTGGCGTGTTGTACGTAAGTAGTAGAAGCGCGTCACAGGCGGATAGGAAACGTGCGGCTACCACGCGAAGAAAGGTGCTCCGAACTGCTTTCGTTTCCTCTGTACTTTTGGCCGCTTACTGTACATTTCCGTATTACTAGATG